CTACCTTTGCAAGATCATCAACGGGTATTAGTCACGAGCGAACGAATTCTATCGATCGATTATTCAATTTATTTATGAGCGTCGGGAATCGTTCGGGCGGAATTACGATTATCGTCTTGTAATTCGCGTATTATCTCTTTGATAATTCCCTTTTCTCACGAAAGGGTCGGTTTTAATTAAACTTTAAATCGTTCAAAATAACGCTTTGTGTGTTTAGGTAGATTAGTATTTCAATTAATTTTATTGATTGAAATTTATACAATATATAATTCCATTTTTATAATTAGATATTTTTATGTTGTAGTTTGTAAATATATACATAATAAAAAAAAATACAACCATCTCGCTTTCGACAGCCCGATCTGTGACCGGATATGACTCCCAAAATGACAGTGTTTTTGTTTTTAGAGGTAACGGAATTTTGTATGTACATATATATATCTATTAAAGAATATATTGAATGAATGAATATTTTTTTCCACAATGGAAGTACGAAATAAAAAGAATTGAATAAAACTGCAATAAGTACCTACAGGCAAGTCACCTGTATTTATCGCAATTAAAAAAAAATACTTAGACTTTAAATATTTGAGCACAACGGACACACTAATGTGTCTGCACAACCCACGACACCGCCAAGAGGCGTCACTTTAAAACACCTACCGGCTGTCAGTACTTAAAATTTAAAATAAGAACATTGACGTCACCTCGCGAATTCGGATGAAATAAATCCGTCCCAAAATAAAGCTTTCAAAAACCGTGTTATAAGGTCGGATGTTTTTTCAGCACAGGTGTTACGTCATATTAATAGTGCGGGTGGTCTATAGAACTTCGCGAAACCATGGAAATAGGTCGTAGCCTTAAGCTCAAGGTGGCCTGAACTGGGGCACTGTATAACTGAAATTGTTTCAGAGTAATGAAGAATGTAGATTAAGTGTAGTTTTTTAATGAACACTTTGTACTACGGATACCTAAAGTAGGGCAAGAATTTATTCGAATGGGAATAACATTGTTCCAGAGAGTACACTAGATTTTGTACCAGCCTATTTTGAATTCTGTAGTTAAGCTGTAAAGCATGCTTTAGTGCATTATTTGAAAAATAGGACATTGATTGTGTTATTCAAGAAGTAAACTTTCCATAATACCGTTACGTTGTTTTGTTGCTAAGGGCACCAGCCCTTAAAAAACCCTGAGATAAGATTATTGTCAAATGTATTCTCTTAATAGAATTTTTTTTATTGTTTCAGGTACAATTTAATGGATGCAAAATAAGGAATCACAACACCTTGCCATTCGTTTAGTTTTGTGGTTTTATACCTCCATTTTCTTTGACAAAAACACACGAATAGTAAAATATAAAATTAGTTCTTAATTAAGGAAATACGTGAGTAACCTTGTATTATTTTCACATATACTTTTAGTTTTTTCGAAATATTACGTGTATTCTTGAGATTTATAGAAATGAAGCAATTATTTCATTATATTTTTTTTAAGAAATATAAGAACACCTGTGTAGAGTACCTACAAGGTTGGCTTCTGATTGATAAAATTATTATTAATTGAAACTGAATTTACAATTACTATTTCCGTATTAAAATAGTGAATATTTTTATCATTTCTTAATTGCGAAATTATTCATTAAATCGGAAATGTGGCAAGGTGGAATATTAACGACATTAAGAATGTTTAAAATTTACTTCAAGTCCAATTAAAGAAATGACACTGATAAGGATTTCGTAGGGAAGTAGTTTTGGATAACATTTCACGAATGAAAAAATGTCCTTATCTATTTTTTTTGTTCGTTGCAGGTGACCTAGTTAAATAATTAATTACTGTATATCCATAAAGTTTCATTTTGAGTGTTTCTTGCGTTTTATCGGACTTTTAAAAGTAGCCTTTTTTTATTATTAATCTTTGCAACGACATGTGTCGAACAAAACAGTTTTATTGATATTAATTAACCTTAAAAAATGAAAATTAGAGAAATGGATAGATAATACTTACTTACACGATTTTAATTTTTTCTTAACTTAAGCTAATTTTTACCCGTTACATTTTCTTTTCCTTTCTAAATAGTTAATTTTCCTTTTGAAATAAACGAAGAAGTATTTTCTTTAAACAAAAGAAACAGATACTTCACTTGAGCAAAATATTATTAAATACTGTCTATAGTTTACGCGATTAGTACACATTTAAATAAAACACTTTAACGGTTTAGAACGCGATATATTAGTTAAACTTATTTGAAAATGATTTTTAACTTCGGCCCGACGTTCAAAAGTTAAAGTGTTTTATTTAAACAAAATATTATTTCTAATCTGTATGTCAATAAAACGTTTGTATACAAAAAAAATAATACTTTCCTGCTTGCTAAAACTATTACATAAAACAAACAATCGAATAAATAATGTGGAAGCATCAAGTCTATACAACAAAGGACCTTTACCGACAAAAATGTAAGACAAGATGTACTATAAAAGGCGTAGGGATGTAGAGGACACGACCGGTCTATATTCCAGCGTATATGTGGGAGGACGACATTCTCAAAAAAGTCATGACAAATTCATAATTGAGAAAGACTGGTTTCAACGGAATGACATAAGGGTGTAATTAGTTTATATTTTTAGGTTTTCTTTGCTTACTTGTATAATATGAATTCTGACTGATAATTAATTAAACACGGGTTCCCTTCTGAAGATTCTATCTAATTCAAATTGTTATATTTAATGATATGGTTTGAATCGATAAATTAATTAAGTATTATAGTTTTCGTGTAAACCATTAAAAAGTGACAGATCTGACCGATCACGGGTTGACTTGATAGAAGGTGAAATAACCAAGCTATATAACTTCTCGTCATGATGCGCTGTCGATCTATTGGATATTAAGAAATCCACGGACTAAAATGAAACGCGTTTAAACTCCATGGGGCTATTATCCATTATATATTAGTCAGGAACCTGTTTTCCTGGAGTTCGTAATAAGGACTTTACGCTTAACGCGTTCAACCACTGTACCACGGATGCGAGGTTAAATATTAAATATATTAAGACGTCGAATATTCTTGTAGAAATGAGACAAATTATATACATTTGTATTTAAGACGGAAACTGTGCTCATGATAAATCGACTGGCAAATAAAATGGTAATAGAGTATCGTGTTGCGATGAAACGATAAGAATTTGCACGACTCACAACGGGACCGTCCTACAACATAGCTGCTTCAGCGCTACGTTGCTTATTAGGTTAATTTATTAAGCGCATTTGCTAACTCTTCGAACTCTTGTCTAGATGTTGATTTTATTTTATACTAGCAGTGTTAGCGACTTGGTCCGCGTAGATAGTTGTTTTGGGCATCAAAATATGAATCATTTTCCCCGTTTCTCCTCATTTCCCACTGTGTCTTCGCTCCTATTGTTAACATCGTAATCTTTAAACCATAAAGCCTTCCACGATAAAGGTTTTAACCAAAATACATATTTTTTCATTCTTCAGCTTTAATAGTATATAGTGTCGGTATGTCTCGTTTTTAGTCTCCTTTTTCATAGGTGGGAAATATGAATTGCCAAAATAGGGATGTTATATATGTGCTTAAATAATATATAATGGATTCAAATTGTATCTAAGGTGCGGGGTATAATTTTTCAAAATGTACATTGCTTTTATTCTATGTGGCGGGATTGTCGGTTTTCAAGTGTGTAAAGGGATCATTCTTTCTTATTATTTATACAATGATGTTTTTAATGTATAGCCTTCCTCGATAAATTGTCTAACCAACACAAATGAATGTTTCGATTCGAACCAGTAGTTCCTGAGATTAGTGCGTTCAAACATAGATACGAACAAACTGCAGCTTTATTATTAGATTCTTTATATACACATATCTATTTGTTTTGATATTAAATTAATAAATCCCTAGCCTATTGCTATGTAACCACTTTTGTTTTACTGTGTCATATTTCCTGTAACATAATTTAATTATTACAACAAAATGCCGTATGGATAATTACCATAATGATACCGTAGTTTATTGTAGTGTGTGGTAGAAATTGCGTAATTTGATGCATTCCGCATTAATTATTTTAAGTAATGCTAATTATATAGATGTTAAGTTACTTTCCTCTTTAGGGCGAGGCTAGTTTTGTTATAATGGCACTCCATGGTCGCAATCGTTATTTAAAAATTATTTTAAGATTTTTTAAAAGTAAATACTTATTTTTGTAATTGCATATTCAATCAATTATTAATTATTTTGTAATTTTATTTAAGTCTGTATCTGCGTGTAATATTAGTATGGATTAGAAAATACGTAACTTTAGATATAAAAAAGTCAGCCAAAAAGTAAAGCATTACAAGTTTCAACTTTCAAAGTTCAATAGCTTTTGATTTTTTGTCCGAAAGACAAATTAGTAAAGCTATGAATAATCATATATATTAATTGTATGGATTAATCAGATAGGCAGGTATTTTTTATAGGAATCGCTTATTTGCATTGTTTAAAATCAACATAATATGTCGCATATCGCAGTAAATACAGTCGCAGTCTCTCATGTTAATTTACGTCTAAGTATATACAAATCACCTGATAAATAAATTTACATTATCTTTGATAAAAAGATAAAAATTGCGAATGCAGCGCAATACATTCCGTTTTCCCTTGTATAAGGTCGCCAAGTGCACGTGAGGCAGTTTGTCGCTCGCTCTCGGTTGAGAAGCACGCGTTTGTTCTGCCATGGAGAACTTAAATCGCATATAAACCACTCTATCCCCGATTACGGCAGGATAAGTGATGGTTCGTGACAAAAATTACGAACTACTAAAACAATAGTTTGAATTAATGAAAAAACAATTGATTACGACAACGGATGTACGCACAAGAAGCGGATAAATAAGCGTGGAGTGTAATGGAAACTTGATTTTCCTAGTGCGGTTCGAAAATGGTTTATAAATTGTGAGAAAATTTGTTAGGTTGGGTTCATACGCGACGCGGTGACTGCATAATGTTGGCCGTTAAGAACTTTTTTATGCCCGAAAAGAGGGTGGATTCACCTAGATTTTCTAGGATGCCGGAGGCTTTGATGAGGTCTATTCGTCGTCGGTCTTTGAGGGTTAAAAGGACGAAGTCGCTTGTTCTAGTCAATGAAAAACGGAAGTCTGGTGAGTGGTAGAGTACCGAAAATTTATTTTTATGATTTTTTACAGTAACTATTACAACAGTAAACTATTTCGCCTATGCACGTACCTCATAATCTTATTAGTTAGATCGAAACACCTGTTTAAACTACGGTTACCGATCACTTTCGAAGGGATACGAGGAATATTAGATACGCAATATTACGTCATCCAACAATTAAGAAAATGCCATTTTCAACAATCATTATGTTCCACTTACGTCATAATGTTCTTGCAAGTACACTTTAGAAAATTAAGTCAATTATAAAGAACCTTAATTCTCAACTGAACAGGTTTCACATGTTAAAAATAGCCTTCGTATACACAGCAATAAAGTGTAATTCTGACTTATCAAGATATACGTGACATAGCTATTCGCGTTATGATAATTGGTAAATGTTGAGTTGCTAACTGTAATTACTAAGTAGTAATGAACATTAGAAAATATATTTTTTTATTGTTTCTAAAATATCAAACGTTTGACTTTACAATTGTTAGATAACGATATAATTAATAGTAATTAATTACTACTTCTGTATATTATAATATGAAGTAACTATTATGAACAAATTACAGAAAAAAATTAACGCCCACAGTTCCATCTCAATATTAGTAAACTCTAGCGAATCTAATGTTTTAATGATATAAGATAGAGTTTATCATTTAGCCAATATTGTCCTACACAAACTGCGCACGCGCATATGTGCGCTTGAACTAACACGTGTTTTCTGAGTTTTATCACTTTGTAATGAGCTGTTAATGTTTTAGTGTGTTAATTCCCACCGAATTGGCTTTTATTCAACTTATATCCAACTTTAAATGTATATTTAAAATAGACTTGCATATCAATATTTATTTCACAATAATATGTCTATTATCATAATAATAATTAAAATCTATAGGTTAATTAAGGTTTTAGTTGTAGTTAATGATCAATTAAAGGGGTAAATAGAATAACGTTTGAAGAAGGTTAAATGATATAGCGATTAGGATCTTTAAAGAAGAATTCGTCATTCATTTCTTGCAATGTAAATTATAATATGCTTGAATCTTGATTGTATGACATCGAATCATACTTCGAATATAGGTATATGATATACATATATCATTGTTTTTCGGGCTGTTTGGCCGACGTGAGCGAGAAGAGGTTCTTGACGTTTCGCCATTACGAGCTGACGACATCATAAGGAGATGTTGTTAGCTCCTCGATTGTTCGAAGAATTATAAGCATAAGTCGGCCGAACAGCCCGAAAAACAATGATAGGCTGAACGATGGCCGTGAAAGCCTTACACAATTTATTGATATAGGCACCTCTTTCGCTTCTCTGAATTAAAAAGCGATATATAATAATTGTGTAGATAAATTAAACCACCAGTTAACGACTAGGATAGCAGGTAGGTAGAAATATTTCCACCCCCAACGAACATTAAATGGCTAATTAGTCCGCACCTGGCTAGCGCGTGACAACCCTAATGTCAAACTTTACGTTACATAACTTTAACAACCCGTTTTTTATCGGGAATATATACGTGCACTAAATTTTATTGTATTTAATCTCTCGTTTACGCAAATAACTACGCGAGTTAAAACCTACGACATGTATATATGTCATATAAGCCGATATGTGTTTCAAATTATGTCAGTCTAGCTGTGCCTGCGACTTTCGCGAATGGATATCTATTGGCGGACTAAGTGGAATTCTCGCATTAAAATTTGTTTTTGCAAACCTCCTCAGATTTATATATTTAAGCCCACGACCTCATTCGCGTTCCGTCGTAATATCACTATCAATATAGCACAAGACAAGCAACAGACATTTTTAGATAATTTAGAAAAGAATCATTCTATAATACATATTTTTTGGAAGCGCTTGTTGAATAATTTTCCCTGTTTTCTCCACATTTCTCTTTGTCTCTGCTCTTATTAGTCGCAGCCTCATGTTTAGCAGCTTAAAGCCTCCTCCTCGAAGCTTGAGCTAACAAATACAAAAATATATTTGAATTCGAACCAGTAGTTCCTGAGATTAGCGCGTTCAAACAAACAGACAAACAATCTCTTCAACTTTATAATATAAATATAGATTTGTTTAAAAGATAGGAATGTTAGAACGTTTCAGACAATTCTCTGCTAATCGGTGAATATCTAATTTTCACAAATGACGTTTAAGTGTCAAAATTCAAAAGTGGTTATAAATGTGGATTTTACATAGAGATACGTAGAAAATCCGAAAATAAAGCATGATGAAATAAATAATGTAATTACTATATAATTATATATACTTTGGCTTTACAATTATTTAGTGTCTACGTCATAACAATTTAATTTCATGTTACATATACATATTATACGTAGAGATTAAATTATCACTTTTATTAATATGTGTCTAATCGTGGAGCTTGTCCCATTTGTTTGAAAAATTCAACCCGCAGTATGTGATAAAACTTTCAATTGTTTTAATTTTAGAAGTGTGTCATCGCCGCCATTTTCCAAACGTATCTCCGATATAAGTTCCATTGAAGACAACTATATGTTGAAGATTATTTTTTAGGTTAAATATGATATAAGCTACTACAATGGTCGAATGATAGTTGATGTATTAATAATATATATATATACACCACATTTATACAAACACACAAATGTTTTTGAAGCATGACAGAGGATCGAACAACCGACCTTATGACCGTAAGGCGGGTTTTAGACGAAAGTGTTTATATCTTGACACGGTTCTTTAGGCTTGAAAATATACTCTGTATATATTATTCTCTAAGACTCAAGTTTTATCAATCGGCCTATGAATAACTGTTATATTAAACTGTCTCGAAAGAGATAACATCATTTGATTCACGATATGGCACGATTCTAGCGGCACAGTTCTGTTATAGATATAGTCCAATATTAGAGGTTGCATTTAATATTAGATGACTATTATGCTATCTTTTATAGCCCAAGTTATATTAATGCCTTATGTTATATGAAAAAAGGATTTTGTCGGGCACATTAGTGTAATTATAGCTGTGTATGGCTGTTTATCAGTAGGTCGTAGGTGTGATCCCGACGGGGTGCTACGTGTTTCTTATCAATATTTAACTTTTCTGAAACTTGTTGGACTTCGTCTGGAAATCTGGATATTAAATAGTTGGAAGGAATATCGAAATTCCGTCCGGTTCACGAACCGCCGTCCACAAATGATAAAGCCGTCAAGTATAATCGCGTTTCGGATTCAGTCTGTGCATTTCCAAATATCCAAGTTAAAATAGATCGACAGCGCATCTTGTTTAGATATTATGTGGCTGGGATATTTTATACACCATCAAGTGATTCCTATTTAAAAATCTTTTTAAATATCTATATACATATTTGATTAAATGTGTACAAATTAATTTCATTCGTCATACATTTCACGGTTTTATCCGTTGTTAGTGTTTTACATAAATCTATTGGTCAAACCCTGAATGATTTTGCATAATAAACAAGAATGATTTTTACAAAACTTTTATAGCTTAATATAATACAGATTACTAGTAAAAGGGTTGGCGGTTTCGGTCTTGGAGGCAGTACGTTTTGACGTCATAAATTTTCTAAGATACTGAACGCGAAGTTCTGCTGCGAAGCATAATTTATTCATAATATCGTGTTACGGAAGTAGACAGGTAACTTGGTATACAAGCGTTGGCGGAAAGTATAACATGATATATTGCTATGAAAATTTTAATAGTTTAAATATTTAATTTATTTGATTTTCTTTATTAAAGGATTGTAGTATTTTTTAATCTTTATTTAATGGGCTTTAATCTTACTTTACTAAGATTTTGTCGCCCCATAGGACCTAAAATTATTTATTATATTAATTACAACATGGAAATTTTAACTACTAATACACTAAAGCCATTGTCATAATAGAATTATAATATAATACATCTTGTAGCATTATTTTTTCCATATTCGGGGGGAGGCTAGGACTGGAAAGTCTAAGATACTACTAAATGTTGGTATTGTAGTATCTTATCTAAAAATTAATATATTTACTTACTTAAATCCAATTATACTAGCTTTATTAGTTTAAAAATAATTTTTAGTAAAAAAAATCCGTGTTACATTGACGAAATTATGTAAGTTATTGGCGTTATGTTTGTCCTTCAGGAACAAAAAACCCTTACGCTCATCTTCTATACCACAAACACGCTTTCCAACAAATTATTAGGGCCACAACCCAAGAGGCTCTAGGAAGTTATTGAAAAGGTTTATACGATATATTGCGGTCGCATCGAGTTCGCCCTATGACACTCCAGGGGAACGTAGCGCGGGCAATTGAGAGTGGCAGTTTATTTCTAATATATCCTCTATGATCTGTAAAAAAATAATGAGGTTTCCTGGGAAACAACGCGAGATACGATTCGCCAAAATTTCAGGGCAATTGTTTTTTTTTGCTACTGCCGCAATAGTATGCTACATTAGTAAAGTACAGTTTGTAATTTACTAATGTAAAATTAAATAAAACACTTTTAACGGTTTAAAACGCGAAATGTATTAGTAAACTCTTTTACAAATTATTTTAACTACGGCACGAAGTTTCGGATGCTTTAAATTCATATCTAAGTAGTATTTTTATTTCTTAATATTCTTCTTCTTCTATGCTTCTAGGCGTGTTGATTATTACATAAATGTTTTGTTACACTAGTATTTAAAAAGATCTTTTTAAAACCGTTAAAGTGAGTAAAACATTTCTTAAAACTCTTTGTTTACCCATTGTATTTCTTTTGTTTTACGTAATCACAGACATTCTGAAGCTGTTATCTGAAAGGCTTTGTAATAAGACTAAGCTATTAATTAAATTAAGGTCCTTTTCTCACTTTCTCTCAAAGCCTTCCCAGTTCTTTGACTTGGTGATTTTTACTTTGTACTTAATTGGAAGTCTGTTGTTAACTAATTATTACTAGAAGCTGTGTAAGAAATCGGACGCTAAAAAACCTTTTAATTTTGT